CCCCGCCCCGCGGCCGAATCCTCGCCGATCGGGACTCGCCGCCCGCCCGCTCACTCGCCATTGGCTGCCGCTGCAGCCAATCCCTCGCGCAGCCGCCGGGCCATTAACCCTCGCACGCCGCTTGGGCCGGGCGGGGTGATGCGCCGCTGCGCATGCGCGCGAGTCGCGGCTTGGCCCGCTCGGCCGGGAGGGCTGGTCGGGTCGGGCAGGGCAGGCGCGCCGCCCCCTCCCCCGTCCCCCCCGGCCAGTCCCTCCGGTGCTGCTCGGCGGGGCTCCCGGTGGGCCGGGGTCGCATAGCAGAAGCAGCGCCGCCCCATGCAAGGACCCGGGGAAGGGCTCGGGCGCAGGTGCCGCCGGCTGTGGATCCGGGGAGGCCGGCCGCGCTGCCCCCGCGTGGCGCACAGACGGGGCCGCGCACGGGGCAGAGGCAGCCCCGGCCCCGTGGCTCAGGGCAGGCCCTGCTGCCTGGCGCCGCAGCCGGCCAGGGAGTCAGGCGGGGGGGAGCTTCCCGCCTGCGCCAGGCATGCCAGTGGCGAGGGACGCCGGGGTCTCCCGCATGCCGAGCCCGTGCTCGTCCCCGGAAGGGTGGCCCCTCCTGCTTCTGATCCCCGTCCCAGAGCAAAGCAGCTCGCGGGGTGCTCCACCAGCTCCGCAGGGCCTCCCGGGCACAAGCGCTGGTGTGCAGCGTTGAGATTGATTTTATGTATCATTTTTCATGCTTCTTGTTTGCTTATGTTATCGCGGCCCTGAGCCACTGTGAAGCGTGGGATACAAACACTCACTAAATAAAAAACAATTCAGTTAACGTGGCGTGGCTGAAGCCTTCGAAGTTTTACGGTTCTGGAGCTGCCCAGAAGCTTTAAACAACGAATGCGCACGACCCACCCAGACGCCCTGCGCAGGCCAATCAGGTGGGCACGCACACAGAGGCGTTACTCAAACTCCCTGGAAAGCATCCCTGGGTGAAACTCACTCTGCATATGCTCAGCGGTACTTCCTTGTTTCAGCACGCCAAAGTTGGAAGCGGGATCTGAGCCCCAGCACTGCTCCTTTCAGCCCCGCAGGGCTCCATCCTTCGGCCATGGAGAGCGAGGCCTCTCACTGGGCCTTTGTCTGGGCCTGGCGAGCAGCCAGCAGGACTCCTCCATCCACGAGTGGCTGGGGCTCAATGAAGTCCCATGGACAGCTCCCTGCTTGGAAGTGGCGCCCTGGAGACAACAATGCACCAGCCGGGCTGAGGGTCCCGCGGGTGGGGCGGGGGCAGAGCCGGGCAGGAACACAGGCCGATTGTCTCGCTGGGGCTGGCTGTCGTCGCCCGACACCAGAGCACAGGCTGTTACAAAAGCCGTCCGGGGCGGAGCCGCATCTTGCCCGGCCGCACCTCAGGCCCAGAGGTGGCCAGCGAGACCGTCTCAGTGGTGCCTCAGGAGGGCTGTGGGGCCCTGGGCACATGGTCCCCACAAGCTCCTGCACCCGCCCTCTTCTCACAGGTGGGATGCAGCCCTGCTCGCAGTGAGCCCCCCAAGGACCCTTCAGAAGCCCCCTGCTGGGGGCGGGGGGCCGTCTGTGGCCAGCTCCTCGACCGCAATGGCTTGGCGAGGACCCGGGCTGCAAACCTGGATGCCCTGCAGTGGCTCCAGGTGGACCTCAGCTACTGCCAAGCAGGAGATGGCCGTGCCTGGGCGGCAGCCAGAGGGGGACCTGCCTCAAGGCGTCCTCTGCTGGAGGGCCTGGCCTGGCCGCTTGCAGGTGAAAGGCAAAGACCCCAGCAAGCCTCTGGCATGGGGCAGGCGCTGCCCCCATTCCCCTGTTGCCACCTCTGTGAAAGCGTGTCTGGACACAATCCCATAGCCCTCCAAGCTCAGAAGGGTGGGCATCCTGGGCAGGTCAGGAGAACCCCAGTAACAGCAGTGCTTTGGGGGGGAGGCCGAGGCACCCCCGGATACGTCCCATCTTGCTGGCGCTGGTCTCTTCCAGCCTCTGCTCCTCCATCCCTGAAAAAGCAGCCTGTGAGGTTCTTTCTGTGCCGGAGGGCCTGCTGCGTGATCGGTCTGATGTTGGCACTGGGACGCCACGGAATCCTGTGGTTCTCCAGACGCTGCTTGGGGGCCATCGGCCGCTCTGCCCATGGAAGCATTTTCCTTTGGCACATCCGATGCCTGTCGCCAACCTCTTCTGGGGGAGCAGCTCCGCAGCTTTGGGTTCGCGGTGTGTGCTGGCGTGGGCTTCGCCTGGAGGCCATGCGCCTCCCAGCTGGGGTGCCAGAGCCGTTCCAGGGAGCTGCGGCAGTGTTGCCATGAGGGTCGCTGGGAACAGCAGCTTGGGCACTGGGGCTGAGGCTGTTCTGGCAGCTCCTGTCCCCAGGAACACGCAGTTCCCGGGAAAGAAGCGGAGGGCTCTTGAGGCAGCTTTATCCTGGCAGAGCACGGAGGGGAGGGGAGAGGAGAGGCTGGCTGCTGCTTTGGGCTATGGAGTGCCTCACAGACCTCACAGAAAGCCTCTTCCGGGATTAACCTAGCCACACCCCTCATCCAAGGTACCTCTTTCCTGAGAGGCATGGAAGCCAGTGGGGGGGGGGCTTCTTGGTGGTGACCCCCATTTACAAAGCACTCTTCCCATCGCAGCCCACCTGGTCCCAGCACGTCATCCCTTTGGCGCCAGGTTAAGGCTTTGATGGGATGCAATCAAGTCCTTAGTGGGTTTGGGAGTTCATGATTGGCTGCTGAAATACACCCCCCCCCCCCAAATCGTCTTTCTTCTTGCAGCGGATTTTTGGCACAGAAGGTCGCCTGCTGCTATCAGCTGTTTAAATCATTGGATGCTATTAATTTCTTCTATTTATTACTGTGTCTTTAACTGATGGGGAATTGTTGTTTTAATCCTGTTCTCAAACTGGATTTTATTGCTGTTAGTTGCTTTAGCACCATGTGGAGTGGAAAGAAGAGATATACATTGAATAAATGAATTAAAAATGAAGTTCCTAGTCCTCACTTGTGAGGCACAGGGCTGTGCCCTGGAAAGGGCGGCTGCAGGCTTTCGGTGCCATGCCAAAGCCCGTCTTTCTCTTCCCTCCAGAAAGCTTAGTGGAGGATATCCGCACAGAGTTCCTCCTCAGCTTATATTATTCACAACAGCCCTGCAAAGTGGAGAGGCTGAGCGGAGCGGCTGGCGCGAACTCGCCCCGGGCATCGGACCGGAGGGCTCCGCGGCGCTGCCCCCAGCCGGTCCCCCCTTTCCCGGGGGAAACCGCCCGCCTGATTTGCTTGGCCACAAAGGCAGAGGCGCGGGTCTGCACGGACCTGTCTCCCTTCGCGCAGTGGCCACGAGGTGGCGGGAGAGGGCCGGGAGCGCGCGCCCGGCCGGAGGGGCCGCGCCCCCTCGCCCCAAGTCCAGCGCCTCTCCGGGAGCCCGGTGCGCGGAGGAGCGGAGGGGATGCCACGCTTATCCGGGAGCTGCCGGCGCCCTTCCGCTCCGCGTCCGAGCGGACGGCGAGCGGTCCGCCTCTTGCGGCGAGCTCAGGGCACGTTCCCGTGGAGGTGGACCCCGATGGAAGCTGTGGGGCGCCCGACGAGGGGAAAGCCCTGTCCCTTCGCCCGAATGCCCGGCGGGCCGACGGGGGGCCCGTCGTGCGGAAAGGCGCTGCGCGCTCGGCCGGAGGCCCCCCTGGGGACGCCTTCACGCGTGGCAGGAGAGGCGGCTCCAGCGCCCCGCTCTGGCGGGTCACGCGGCCGGATCCCGAGTTTCTTTCCTGAGCGTGACCCGTGCCCGGCAGGGGCTGCCGGCGGAGCAGACGCGCCACAGGGCGGCCGTACGAGCAACCGCCTCCTGGGCAGGCCGGGCCGAGGGAGGGGCTTCCTCTGGGAGGGCCTCCTCCGCCTCAGTACCCCGCTGCACCCTCCTGGAGGATCGCAGACCTGAAGGACTCGCCGGAGCCGAGGCAGCAGCGCCGCGCAGGGACTGAGCGCCGGAGCTGGCGCACGGCGCGCACGCGGGTGCTCTCCCGGGACCCCCCGCCCTCCTCCCCGCCCTCTCCCCGCGCCCCGCAGTGTCTCCTGCGAAAGCTGCTGGACGGATCCGAGGCGCGAGGAGCGGCGCAGCCGGCGCGGCGTCTGTCAGGTGAGGAGGCTACAGCCGGAGGGCGTCCTTCTGCTCCCTGCGGGGCGGATTTTCTCCGCCAGCGCCTTGCCGCCGGTCCTGTCAGGGGCAGTGCCGCGTTTTCGAGCGCTGCCTTGGAAAATCACCGGCGCCTTTGGCTCTTCAGGGGCTCCGTTCAGCTTGCGCCTGGGTGGGGGGCCAGCCTCCCAGGGTCCAGCTGTCACCCTCGGGAGAGGGGTCCTTCTGGAAGGGTGGGGGACGCAGGTGGCAGGCGTCTCGCCCGGACACCTGCAGGCAAGCACACGTGGCCGGCCGGGCACCCGCTCCGGGCACCCACTGCTCCGGAACGGCGCTTCAGTGCTAATGAGATGCTGGGGCGCAGAGGCGCTCTGCTGGTGGATGGTTAACTCCAAGGTCAACCAACCTGTTGACTCCTCACTCCGCCAGCGGCCGGCCTGCTGTGGGATCACCAGGCAGAGAGCGGTGCCCGTGTGTGGCGGGGCCTCCGGGCAGCCGGGAGCAGCGGGTCGGGAGCAGGTCTGTTTCCCTTGCTGGGGAGTAGCGGGCGTGACACTCTTGTGTTCTTTTCCCAAACACAAGTCGGGTTCCCAAGAGCTCCAGCAGTGCTTCGGGGCTCTAGGAGCCAGGTCCACTCCGAAAGCAGCCCGGCGGGGAGGGGCAGGGACCTCTGCAGGTGCTGGCACCCCACTCGGGGGGAGCAGGATGTGTGGGGTGGTCTCGAGGCCTGCGAGGGCAGGAAGCGCCAGCTGCTCCCACACAGCCCAGGGGTGGCTGTGTCGCCCATCTGCGGGGGGGCAGCAGGTCTCGGCCACGTCGCTTTCCGTGCCGTTCCCGATTCTGCCCAGCATGAACTGTGCCTTGCAGCCACACGCCGGGTGGGCATTTCATCCAAAGCGGTTTTTGTGGCTGGTCACTGCTAACCCCGACGCCGTCAGTCCTGGGCAAGAGGGGGGGTTCAGCTCCAGCACCTACCTCTTCACACTTGCCCGCTGATGGACCTCATCCGGCACTTTGATGCCCACGCTCCCAGTTTGGAGAGATCCTTTAGGAGCGCCTAGCTCAAACCCGAACCCCTTTTCTCTTAAGCACCCCAAATAATTGTTGCCACCACTCCTCACTCCTAAGGGCAAAGCATTGTCCTAGTGCAGAGCTGTGAGGGACCCCAAGGCTTATCTCCCCGCACGGGAAGAATCAGCCGTGGATTCCTCCCCTCTGGTTTCTGCTCTTTTACTGCTGCTGAGCCACCCCATTCCGTGGCTGCAGAGTTTGCCCAGGCTGTGCTGGTGGAGAGTGAGGCCGATCAGGGCGGCTGCACCAATGCGCCTGTTCTGAGGTGCGATGCGAAGGCTTGGGGAAAATGGAGGTGACTGGGAAGGCCTTCCATTAGGTAGTTAGCAGAACCTTTTCCTGCTTCAAACATCTCCTCCGGACTCGCTCTGCGGCTGGCTGCCTTCTGTGCTCGCCTCGCTTCGGCAGCGCTCCCTTCGCCGCTCGTGTTCCTGCCCTCAGGCTCGCCCATGGCACACGCCCTGGGCTGGGTGCTGGGTTCCGTGGGCCCCCGCTGACCAGCGGAGCTGTGTGCAGGCCGGCTGCCCAGCGGGGCTGCTGGTGGGCGAGAGCACTCGGTGGGCGATCCCGTAAGCTGCCTCCACAGGCCCCCCGGGATGCTGGGACGCCCGGCATACAGTGCCAGACATTTCCAGAACCTCTGCAGAGCCCTTCAGGGAGGGCAGGGGTTGCTTATCAGACAGCCGCCTCCCCGCTTCCAGCCTCCTCTGAAGGCTTATCCCGGGAGGCGCTGCCTGAGCTGCCCGCGTCCGCTGGGTTTTTCCATTCCTCGAGTGGAGATTCAAAGCGCCCTCGGTGCGGACGGCGTCCCCTCTGAAATTCAGCGCAGCACTCTGCGCGTGGGCGGTGCTTTGACGAGCAAAGGCGCAGCCTGCCCTGAGCAGCGGCCCTCCAGCGCTCGGCCTCGCAGGCGCCCGGTGGAATCAGGCAACGGCAGTGGCAGGCCCTGGAAGACGCACGCGCCAGCCAGGGCAGAGGTACGCCTGCTAGTCTTCCCGACGCCCCAGGATCCTTGGCTGCTTTGGCCGCAACTGGGATGGCCATCCCTCTGGATCATAGCATCACAAGTGTTCTTCTGAGCATGTGCAGAGTGCTTTCTCCTCACTAATCAGTGAGCATGGACAGCAGTGATGGGAGAAGGCTTGTGGGAACGCAACCGGTGCACCGTCCCGAGAGGCAGAGAAAACAGACGGCCCCTTGCTGCTGCTGCACCTCATGGCCTCGCGCGTGTGCTTGTGTGCGTGTTTCACACAAGAAAGGGCTATTTCCTGCATTTCCCTCCTGGTGTGTCATTTCCTTGTCTCCCACAGTGTCTGAGAAGCTTGCAGACGTGGCCCAGGGCTCCAGGGCCGCCAGGCAGCCTCGCGCTTGCCGTCGGAGCGCGCCTTGATCTGAAAGGGCCGCCGGGGGCCCCGCTGGAGTAGCCGGGCAGCTTGCGGCCCTCCAGGTGCTGCCAGCCCTGGCGGCACATCCAGCAGGGACAGATGTCCGCCGGGCCCGTGCGTTGCCCTTCAAGCCGGCGCTTCACCGCCACAGGGGGAGCACGAGGGGCTTCGTCTGGGGCCCGACGGGATTTGCAGCCGTGAGACTAAGCGCTGCCCCGGCCTCCCGCCCAGTGACCGGAGCCTCGCGGTGGCGGTGGCTTTTCGCATGTCTGTCTTGTCCAGCCGCCAAAATGCCCCGAGCACTTCACAGGTTAAGACCTCACACACACACACACACTCACACGACACAGGAGCATTGTGTAGAACCATTCACAGTAAGTGTGTGCATACACACAGTTATACATACACAATCTTAGCAATCGGCAACGACAGTCCCAGGACCCACTGAAACCCACGATGTGCCGCCCGATGGAGGGAGACCTGCACCTGACACTGAAAGCAGCAGCACCTGGCACAGGTGGCCCTCGCTGGCCGGCCACGTCCCCCACCTGGGGGCCGGCACCAGGAAGGTCCTCCCCCCATGGGGCTGCCTACGTGGGGCCTCTCCCTGCAGAGACGTGGCCCCACCGCCAGCCATGGGTCTTGCACTCCCGAGCATGGCTGGGGAGTCCTGTCACCAGAGGCAGGCAATGCCGGGGGAGCCTGGGGATGCAAAGTGCCCCCACCCTTCTTTTTAAATGCCATGCCTTGCAAAACGGGAGGTGGGGGGGGGCAAGGCGTCCACCAGCACAGCCCAGCCTGGCCCATGGGGGAGGCTGCCCTGACCTGGATCCAGACACCCACCCCATGGAGTTCTGCGTGGTGATTCTGTGGGGAGGGGGCCCTTTTCTGCCCAGGCAGGGGCCCACCTGGGAGTGCTGCAGAGCCAGGACTGCAGGTGTGCCGGGGGCGTCCCTGCAAAAGAGCGCCAGCCGCTTTTTCAGACATTCCAGGGATGCTTGCGCCATGCAGGCAGCCCCCCCCCCCCCCGGGACTGCCCAGATGCCTTTACAACCTCGGTTTACACGCACGGGGGTGGGGGGGGCGGGGGCGGAAGGCAGTTTGCTGGAGGGACAGGAGAGCAAGAGCAAAAGGCACGAGAGGAAGGGCTTTCAGGCCGGTGGGGCTCGCTCCCCTGAGGGGTGGGGGGCACAGGGCTGGCAGCAGGCAAGTGTCCTGTCAGGAAGCCCCACCTCGGCCCAGAGCTGTCCGGCTCCGGCAGCCTCTTCTGCCCGGACAAGAGCCGATGCTGGGCCTGAGCTGTGGGACGCCGGCAGGGGTGGCGCTGGAGGCGGAGGGGGGGGCTGTCCCCGAGCGCGGCTGGGCAGCACACCTCCCCGCAGGCACATCCTCACCCTGACGCTGAGCCCCTCTGCCTCCAGGTGCTGAGCAGCCGCGGCTGCCATGCCCATCCTTAAGGACCCCTACAAGGACAAGATGGCCAACGGAGACGCCGGGGGCCGCAGCGGGGCGCTGATCCTGGAGAGGGAGGGCCAGGGCACCAACCCCTTCGAGGAAGACCTGGAGGAGAACGAGCAGGACTCCTTCCTCGGGAACGCCTCCCCCGGCGGCGGCAGGAACCCGTCCCCGGAGGCTGGGCAGGGGGACTTCAGGGGGGGGCTCTTCAACGGCAGCCCCGAGGGGCGCTACAGGCGCCGGGCGACCCTGGAGAAGCTGGTGGGGCTGTCCCCGTTCCGCCTGGGCAAGTGGGGCGGCGAGAAGAAGTCCCCGAGCGGCGAGAAGGGCTCCGACCGGAAGTCCTTCCTGGGGCGCATGATGATCCCGCTGACGGACGGCAACCAGAGCCAGAGGACCCCCGAAAAGAGGAAGCCACGCCGCTGCTCGGAGGACTTCAGCCTGCTGCAGCGCTTCAACAGCCGCCGCAAGGAGAGCCTCTGCAGCCTCGACTGCGGCCTGGCCGAGAAGGAGAACAGCGGGGCCGACTCTGCCAAGCGCGGGCCCTTCCTCAAGATCGGCCTGGGGGCCAGGGTCCGCCGGGCCTCGCTGGTGGAGAAGCTCAACCAGGTGGAGGCCGCCGAGCCGGGGCCCGGGCCCGGGCCGCAGGAGCCCGAAGGGAAGGCCAAGGAGCCCCTCTCAGGTGAGTCCGGGGCGGGGCGGGGGGCCCGGGGGCTCCGGTGCCGTTGGACAGCACCTCCGAGCCACACGCCGCTGGCGCATCGCTCCTGGCTGCCGCTGGAGTTCGGCACAACCGCTCAGGGGCCGCAAGTCTCGCAGAGGGAGAAGCAGTGCTGGCCCCCACGGCCCCGGGCCGCACAGGCGCCCCCTAGAGCTGGGTGGGGCCAAGAAGCCCATCGGGGCCGACCCTGCTCTTGCAGGGCACCGCGTCCTGGCCCCCCAGGGTGCCATTCCGCAGCGGGAGCCTGACGTTCCGGGCTGCACCCGTGCCGGGTCTCTCCGCCCCGGAGCCTCCCCTGCGGGGGTCTCCTGGCTGATGTCGCACTGCTGCGACTCCTTCCTGGGCCCCTCCAGCAGGGGTGTCTCCGGAGCAGCCTTCCCCAGCCTGGCGGGTTCCAGGTGGCTGGGGATGATGGGTGGTGCAGTCCAGCACATCTGGAGCTCGCCGGGGTGGAGACGCTGCTCCGGAAGCTATCTAGAGGCCCGCTCAGTGTTTGCGCGGGAGCAGAAAGCCGCCCCAGAGCTTGCCGCCTGTCTCAGCACCCGGTGGAGGCGCCGAGGCTGCTGGGCTTCCGGGCCTTCTCGTTTCAGCGGCAGAGGACAGTGGAGCAGAGTGAGCGGAGCAGGTGAAGGGAGCCAGCGCAGCACCAGCCCAGGCCTGGGGCTCTCTGCTATCTGCCCTAAGAGGCAGGGAGGGGCCCGGGCGGTGGGCTTGTCCCTCCTGGAGAGACCCCTGCGGCCCTCCGGAGGGTCTGACGCCAACCCGCGGCCCTCGGCCGTGGGAGCCGCCCCCCGTGGCCGCAGGGCAGGGCAGCGCTGGCTTTGCTTCCAGGAACGTGCCGCTGCCCCCGCTCAGCCTTAATGCTCAGCTGATGAAGGCCGTGTTTGGATAAGGAATCCTTGGCCGCGGCTCCATCCTTCCCACGGGACAGCCACCGGCCCTGCTCTTCATTAACCTCCGGGACCAGCCTGTTTACTCAGATTGGGGCGGTGGGGGGGGGGGGGGGGGGGGGGGGGAGGCAGCGGCTCGCTTTGTCCTGCGCTGGCTCCCCACCCTCCGCACTGCCCTCCGTGAGAAGCGCCCGCTGACCTTGCTGGGGAAGGCGCCCAGGGAAGGGAAGGAAAAGGCCGAGAGCGTCCTGCAGAGCGGCACTCACCGGGAAGTGTGCAAAGCTCCGTCACCTTTGGTTCAGAAGCCTGGCCAGAGCCTTCCTTCCGCTCCCAAAGTTCTGCGGCGAGGAACAATCCCTCCCCGATAGCCTCCTCACCCGCGATTGCGGGACTGCGGCCCCCACCCACACTCCGCCTCCCCGCGCTCCCCAAACGGCGCCGAGGCTGCCCGGGGGCTGGCGGGGAGAGGAAGGGCCCACGGCCCACGCGGAGCTTGTGTGTCACGTGCAGGGGGCCGAGCGCGCCCCACGACCTGCATGGGGTGCCCCCAGGGCCAGGGGGCCTCTTTGTGCCCCTGCCCCTGCCGGCTGTTCCGCACAGAGGGGTCCGTGGCCGCAGCAGCAGCGCGTCTGCTCGGCCTCTCCTCTGTCCGCCCTTTCCCTCGGTTAGTTCAGGGCTGCAGGCACCTTCGGCTCAAGGGCTGGACCCCCGTCCGGAGGAGCCCTTGGGGGCCGCAGCCTGGGGTGGGGGGGGCTGCAGGGAAGGGGCCGCAGTGCCAAGAGCCCCAGCAGGGCAGCCTCAAGCGCTTCCTCCCGCTGACAAAGGCACGGAGGAGCCATCCCAGCCTTTTCGAATGGGGAAAGCACCACAGAGACGGGGAAGCCACCGGGAAAGGGAGCGGGGCGCCCAGGAAAGCCAGACCGGCCCCGGACACGAGGCTCCGTGCCCTGGTTGCGGCATTCGGGCAGAATTCCCCACTCCGAGTGAGGAAAGGGAAGCAGGGCTGATGAGCAGTGGGGACCCCCGAAGGCGCACGGCCCGCCCTCGCCGGGGCCCCTCGAGCGTGCCGAGAAGGTGTCAGTGCCCGGCCGCACTTCCACTCCGGGCCGCGGCCGGCTAGCCGGCTGCTATATAAATACACAGAGGCAGCGGCGCGGGGAAGCGGCAAGTTAAACAACGCGGTCACGGGGCCAAGCGAGACGAGGACTCTGGCCCAGGGCCCGTCTGCTCGTTCCGTCACCTCCACTTGGCCGCACGCAGCGCCGCGAGGCGCTCAAAGCGCCGGCCCGATTTAGGATGCGTGCAACCGCGGGCGTGTCGAGGCACACGTGTCCTGCAACTCCTGGCATTGCTGGCCCAGGATGCTGGGAACTGTAGGCCTCATCTGCGTCTCGCTTCCCAGCAGCATCAGCAACTAGCGTGGCGGCTCCAATCGCGAGACGTGTCGGGGCCAGGTGACGCTCGCCTGGGGGCCGGCGCCTCTCCCAGGTCCAGGCGGCCTCATAAACTCACCGGCCGCTCCCCTCCGGCCTGCCCAGAGCGCTCCGGAGGCGCAAGCGCCCGCAAATAGGGAGCTCACTGTTCCGCGATGCCTGTGCTGGACCCCCGAAGTGCAGCGGGAGAAGGGGGGAGGCGTCGGGGCAGCCCGGGGCCGCCAGTGCAGCCGCTCCCCTTCTCGTGCGCAGTCCTGGAAATTCTGAACCTGATCCAGAAGAGGGACCTGCTGGTGGCCGACAAGCACATCATCGAGCTGGAGGAGGAGTGCGGGCAGGGCGGGCAGCGCAGCCCGGGCAGCGGCGCGCTGTGCAAGGACGGCAGCCGGAAGGCCAAGGACGTGGCGCTGCTGTACGAGGCGCTGCAGCAGGAGCTGTGGGCGGTGCTGGCCGAGGCCCTGGCGGCCGGGGGGGGGGCTGCCCGGCCCTGGCGCTGATGGTGCGCGTGATCGAGCAGGAGGAGGGCACGGACCGCCGGTGGCTGGAGGCCCGGGGCGGGGCGGGGGCGGGGGGGCGCTCCGGCCCCCGGCCCCGGGCCATGCGGCAGCGCTGGGCCGAGGCAGTGGGCGCGCTGGTCGAGCAGAGGCTGAGCCGGAGCACGGAGGGCCGGGGCGGCCCCCTCGCCACCCAGCTGGACCGGCTGGCCAAGTGCATGGTGGAGGACCTCTGCACGGTGCGGTTCCGCCTGCTGCACACCTACCCGGAGGAGTACGGGGCCTTCGGCGTCTACCTGTGCAGCTACCACCGGGGGCTGGCCCGGCGCCTGGCCGAGGCCGTGCAGCGCAGCCTGACCGTCCCCGAGCTCTACTTCGTCCTGGACTGGAACAGCAACACCTACCACAGGTGAGCGGAGGGGCTCGCCGCTCCGGCCCGGCCGGCCCTGGGGCCACGGCCTCTCGGCACTGGTGGCGCCGGCAGCCGTGGCTCGCTGGGGCCTGGGGGGTCGCAGGGATGTCCCGCCCGGGCTCCGGCACCCCTCTGAGGCTGCCTTCCTCGCCTCGCCTCGCCACGCAGGGAGGTCCTGGGCTGGGCAGAGATCGCTTCGCTGGTGAAGGCGCAGGCGCTCGGCCCGCTGCTGTCCCCCGAGACCCAGCTGAGCCTGGAGGAGGACTGCATCGCGGCAGTGAAGGTAATGGCGGAGGCGGGGGCCACGGGCACAGCGCTGCGCTGCGCTGCGAGGGCATCGGGCGTCCCGGGAAGGATGCGGCCAACCCCGCCTTCGGAGCACGTGGCAAAACAGGGCTGTCCTCAGAGCCCTGCTCTGGTCTCGGCCACGAGGGGAGCGGCCTCGCCAGCGGTGGCACCCAAGCGGTGGAACCGCGCCCCCTGGAAAGCCCCCGGGCGCCAGCAGGTTAAAGGGCCGTGTGTCTATTTTTATGGATTTCGCCTTTTCTGTTATTTCGCTTGCGCTGCATGGCCTTTTGGGAAATCCCAGCAGGGCAACAATCAAGGGTTTCAGATCACGAAAGGTGCTCTGAACAAGTGAGGAATGGGCCGCTCCCCCTGTCGGCCCCCCCCCATGCGCCACACGCCTCTCCTGCCCTCGCTCCTAGGCCAAGATCACTGAGGACATGATGCAGGAGCTGCTGCGGGAGGAAGAGCAGTGGGCCCGCGAAGGGGAGGGCAACAGCTTCCAGTTCGGGCTGTCCGGCAAAGTCGTCATGGTAGGTCCGCCTCTGGGCTGCCCCACCGGCCCCTTCTGCCCTCCCATGGATGGCGCCACCCCCCCCCCCCCCCGCAGAGACAGGGGAGCCCAGGGGGGGGGCGGGGGAGGCCGCTCCACCCTCGGCCCCTTGGTGGCCTCCTCCCGGGGTCCTGGGCCGCTGCATTTGCTCCCGGGCGGATGGCGCGCCCGACTCGCGCCCTGTGCCGCCGGGAGACCCAGCCTGGGTGACGGGGGAGCACCCCGGAGAGGGCATGTGGCACAGCTGTGGATCTCCGTCAGCCCCAGGCCGGTTCCATTCTGAGGAGGGTCTCCCGATTGCCCAGGTGGGAGGGATGCCCCGGCCAGGTGGGGTGCCTCTGCACTGAGGTGCGTTGCTGTGGCATGGAAGGGGGGCAGCTCCCCCCCCCACTGCCTCGCGCCTCACACTCCCCGATGCCTCCCCCGGGATGCTTCTCGCGGGGGCCGCCAGGGCGAAGCGCAGGAGCATCCTTGCCCGGCGGCTCCTTGGCAGCGAGTCGTCTTCCCACCTGGCAGGTGCTGAAGGCGCATGCCGACAGGGCGCCCCAGATCACGGAGGACTTTGGGCGCAGGATGGCCCACTGCTGCCTGACCTGCCTGGCCGACTTCCTGCAGAGGTACGTCTCCGACACGGCTGGCCGAGGGCGCGCCGGGGTTGGGCGGCAGCCTCTGGCCCGGATCCTTGCGGAGCCTGAGGGAGGCGGCTGTGGGGAGCCATCTTGGAGCGAACGGGGGGCGGGGGCGGCACAGGGGGCTGGCCCCGCTGGGGGAGGCCTGCGCCCGGCAGCTCCTGCCACAGCTTTCCCTCCTGCTCTCTGCCTCAGCTTTCAGAGGAAGGTGGAAAGGTTCCACGAGGCGCAGGCCGAGGGCGGCCTCTCCGGCGACGGCTACATGGGCCGCACCATCTCGCTGGTCAACTGCTGCCCCGCTTTCAGGTGAGGGGTCCCCCGCCCGCCCAGCCAGCCCCCGGGGCAGGTGAGAGCCGGCGTGCCCGGGCCCGACCTGCTCTCCCACCCCTCCGGCGGCCTGCCTGTCCCCCACCGAGACGGGAGACGGCGTGGATGCCCCGTGACCGCACGGCGTGCCGGCTGTGGCTCCGGGGGCGAGGAGAGCCGGCAGGCCGCGAGGCCGCAGCGGTGCCCGACGGCACAGCTGCTCGTGGCGGAGGGGCGCCCTCGGACCTTGTCCGGAGCTCTTTGCGCGCCCCCCCTTTGACGCAGACCTCTCCTCCAGGGACTACGTGCAGCACCTGGCGGGCTTCGGCCACCCCGAGAGCGAGGCGGCGAGGAGCCAGGCAGAGTGCTCCCTCGACAGAGTGACTCGCCTCTGCAACCACGTGTTGGCCGAGCACCTTTTCCAAAACCTCAAGGTACCCTTTGGGGGAGCGCCGGGTGGGGGCGGCTCCCCGGAAGGGCCTCTGGAAGCCGGGGAGGAAATCCGGTGGTTGCTGCTGCAGCAGGCCACCCCCCCCCTTCCTTGAGTGTTTTGCCCCTCGGGGGCTGCTGGGCAGAGGCAGCACGGGGCGAGGGAGGGGCCCTGCAGCCCATCGCTCCAAGATGGCCATTTGCAGCAGAGCATCCTGGGAGCGCTGGCCAGAGCAGCTCGCCCAGGGCTGGTCCGGGGGCCACAGAAAGGCTGCGCCTGCCGGTCCCCACTCTCCACGGTGGAGGACCAGGCTGGGCTCCCGGCAGAGATGGGCCCAGTGGAAGGAGAAGGCGGGGACCGGGAGGGCGGCTCCAGGCAGTGGGACATCGCTGTGCAGGGCTGGGAAGCCGCTGCTGGGTTCTCATTGCCCCCCCTGCTCTCTGCCCCCCCCCCCGGCCCCTCCAGCCCTACTTCCACAAACTGATGAAGCGGAAGTGGCTCAGCAACTCCGAGGCCTTCCCCACCATCATGGCCCTCCTTGCGGAGCACGCCCAGAAGATGAAGAAGATGAAGCAGGAGCCGCACCTGGTGAGCAGCCGCCTGGGGAGGACACGGGCCGTGCCTGAGCCCTGTCGCTTGGGCGGCACGGAGGCTCCGCACAGCCAGAGGGAAAGCTGGGGCAGCATCTGCGGGGCTCCACCCTGGGGCACGTGGTCCGAGGTGCTCTTCCCAGCCTGGGGATGCTGCTGGGGAGTCCCAGCCATGGG